ACTTCTTATTAAGAATTTAATTAGTTCTGCCAACTATTTAGTTAAATGTTTATGTACAGTACTGTCCATTTGACATGATTTGAGATTTCTTTGTGAACAGAGGACAGAGGGAGTTGCCGGTTTACTAAGTCTATAATTGGAGGCCTATAAGAATTCAAGTCTTGTACTTCAGAGTGCAATTCATATTTGTGGCGCTTGGTTGTTATATATGGAATGTTTTCTGAAGTATAAACTAGTTTTAAAAGTTGTTATTCATTGTCTTTTTGTGGTCTAATTTGCTGTGATTGCCTGGCCGGCCACAAGCACGTGAAATTAGTGAACAAATTCGGTGTAGAAGTGAGTGTAGGAAATTAAAAGCGCACGGGGGGGTATATAAACAGACGCGAAACTTGAGCCGGCCTTCTGAGCGGCGACTTAAATAAAGGCTGAGCGGGGATTGACGCTACTGGTGGGTCGACGCAGTGGATGGAGCTCCGGACCTATAAGGCCCACACACCTCTTTCCCTCTCAAAACTGTCAGTATTGAACACAGTGTAGATATATAGCATAGCATTTATCATCTCATTACATTATTGTTGCAGCTTCCATAATGCCCAGTGCCGGGGCTCTTCCAGCTCCGTTCATTACGCCAATCCATCGAGACTGCCATGGCCTACAGCTGCCAGTCAACAAGATTGATTCCTCCACTTTAATTGAACTGAGTTCAGGTAAAAAAGAGAGTTGGTCTACTGTTATCTCATTTTTGTTTTGCATCATGTGTATATGAGTCTACAAGTTCAGCGTGTGTGTGTGTGTGTGTGTGTGTATGTGTGTGTGTGTGTGTGTGTGTGTGTATGTATGTGTGTTGTTGAATTAATGATCTCAATAATGTGCATTTTTTTTCTTTTTAATTGTCAGTAAAGCTTAGTGATAATTCTGCATTGCACAGTATGCCTACGAGCCTTATTATCTTACAGGTACAATATTAATTCCTATATTTATTTTTTAGATGATAAACGAATATTTGATTTCTAAACTTTTATTCAATTGGAATCTGTCGCAAGATTAAAACAAATATCAGAGAAACAGCATCCAGCAGCAGTTTTTAGACAGCACTCTAGTGTGAGTGTGGGCCAGATTAGGTGCTTGTTTTGTCGCAGCGTCAGTTCTTGTTTACGACAGATCTGATACGATACATTGCTGCATGTAACCAGGGTTTTACTTGTTTAAGATAAGATATAATAAGATAAGATACATCTTTATTGTCCAGATCCTGGCAGAATTGATTTGGTGTGTTACCACGTACACACACGCATACACACCCACACACATGCGCACATACACAGACGCACACTCATACACACACATACTCACACACACACACACTCTCTCACTCACTCACACACACACACACAGGCACACACACACACACACACACACACACACACACACACACACACACACACACACACACACTCATACACACACATACTCACACTCTCACACACTTACACGCACACACACCGGTACACATACACACACACACACACACACACACACACACACTCATACACCTACTCACACACATGCACGAACATGTATAGTTATAGTGTTGCTCAAATAAAATGGTAATCTAACTCATCATGGCTGTTACTGATTGAAATGAATACTCAGCATGCCAAATTTGAATACGAAGTGTTTATTGCTTTGCTGCAGCAGGATATTATGTTAGTATGTGTGAAGTGTGTGTGGGTTGAGTGTCAGGATTGAGACACAATCAGTGTATCTGTACTGTTAACTAATGGGGGAGGGGGTGAGCATAATGCTTTTTATTGGTTGTCAGAATTAATAGTCTGCAGGACAGGTATGGATAATCCTGATTGTTGTATCATTGACTATTATTTTCTTGTTATTATGCAACTGAAATTTTAGATACTTTTGTCGCAGATCAAACAATTTTTTGACTTACCAGCTTGATTGTTCTCTTAATTTGCAGATGTGCCCAACTGCAAACTTTACTTCACCACTGACGGAAGTAAGCCGCTCCCTTTTCAACGTAAAATTGGGGGTAAAGAACGGACTTTCAAATATTTTGCACCTTTCACCCTCAAGTGTGGAAAGAGAACCCTCAAGGCTGTAGCTGTGTCAAGGTTTGTTGGTTCGTTGTCTTTGGCACACCCGCCCAATCCTCCGATTAAATTAGAATCCTCCAATAATTTTCTTTGTTTGCCGATGGAAGGACTATGATTGGATTTGCATAAAATCTTATTTTTTTCTTGAAATATGTTTCCATTGCGTATCCATAATTTATTATAAATGAAATGTAAAAAAACAGGTTTATTTGCAACATTTGTGCAACTCATAGTAAATGACGTGAAAATACACATTTTTATTTGAGTTTATTTGCAAGTATTTGCAATAGGCCTACATGTTTATTTGCTGTGACCAGTATGTCTCCTTTGACTTCCTCTCCTCCTCTCTAGCAATGTTCTGTAGTCTGCTTTCGTTTCCATTTTCTGCCTCACCCCGTCACTTCCTTTGCCCCTTCCTCTGGGCTTCGGACTCTTTTTGCAGCCTTTCTACTGCTACTCCTTGGCTCCTCCTTACTGCTGTCTTTCAGCCACACCCGTGATCTTCTTTTAGGAAAGATCTACACTTAACCTTCTTGGTCAAGGAGGAAAAATCTCAGAGGTCCCGTGTGCAAGTTGCGCTCGTTAAAGATCCTTTGGTTGTCTAAAATCGATAAGAGTAGGCTTCGGCTGCCACCCGTGCAAAATTCATAATTTCCTGCAAACTGAAAATGTGTAAAGTATCCCGCGCACTCATATGACTTTATGCAGTTGCGAGTGCCGTAAAACACTTAACCCCCCCCACTCCAACAAATTGCGTGTTGTAAGCCTTACAGGCTGGCTGTTGTGGCCATGTTCTCATAACGTGTCCAAAACGTCTTATTTGTTGTCTCTTGATGTATTTCACACTGGATTCGACGCCTCCTCATTTTCTGACATGGGACAGTACAAACAGTAAATCAGGCGATCATCATTTTTTCAGCATATGGAGTTGTTGGTATCATCTTAACTCTTTATCTCTGAGGGGGTACACCCACTGTGCCGGAGCCCTTTTTTGGTACTAAATCTAAACGTGACAAAAACGTCACTAAATTTGTAATTATATCAAAGCAAGTGAGCCTATTTTGATAGTTCTTCATCTAATGAATGAACTCCCGATAAAAGAGACCTGTCGAAACGAAAAGTAATTTGATGTCGAAGTCGTCGTAAAGGAATGTGCCCGAGCCGCTGTCAGCGACTCACCGGCACTGCAGTTCCGACCACAAGCCGCAGGGAGCAGCTTGGCGGAGATAAAGAATTATTAAAATTAGTGAGAAAATGGACACCAAAGTTTGGTGACATCTAAACTTTGAAAGTCCTTCGGAAACTGCAAATTTACATCTTTTTATTTGGTGTACTTTTGATCCACATTTTTCATTGAAATCCTCACAGAAATGTGTTGTTGGAAGGACATAAATGTGTTGTTGGAAGGACAGAAATGTGTTGTTGGAAGGACAGAAATGTGTTGTTGGAAGGACAGAAATGTGTTGTTGGAAGGACATAAACGTGTTGTTGGAAGGACATAAATATGTTGTTGGAAGGACAGAAATGTGTTGTTGGAAGGACAGAAATGTGTTGTTGGAAGGTCATAAATGTGTTGAGCCCCACAGGTGGAAAATGTCTGGGTTTTTTTTCAATATGATTATTTTGACGAGCACCTGATTTCATCCCGATGCCTCACAAATAACTTTTTAATGTCTTAATCTACAATGGACCTCAGTTGTTTCTGCCTGCCAATCCTACTTTTCCTCACTTCACCCAGATGGGAATGGGTACCCGTCTATAGACAGCGACGGATTGCGTCAGTTTGTTAGTGTTTCAGTGCTTAATCAGCAGCTTTAGTGTGCTTTCCAGGAAGCCGAGAATGTTTCAGATTTGTATTCTGGGGTCTGCTGGGGTAATAATATATATCGTAAAACACAATTTAAAGAGCATGCTATAGAGCCTCATTATATGCTATACAATTACCTTTGTTATTATTATATTTATTATTATTTTTATTATAAAAAAATTATTATTACTATTATTATTGTTATTATTATTATTATTATTATTATAATGATGATGATGATGATTATTATTATTATTATTATTAGTCCTATCATTATTATTATTATTATTATTATTATTATTATTATTATTATTATTACCTTATTATTACTTTTATCATTATTATTATTATTATTTATATTATTATTATTATTACTATTATTATCATTATTATTAATAACCACAGGGATGGATTGCTGGAGAGTGCGGTCGTCTCCAAAGATTTCAACGTGGTCAACTTGGACAGTCTGGGAACGTCGGAAGGCTACGAGAGTAGCACCAGTGCCGCAACTCTTCAGTCTTTTCTGGACGAGTCGTCGGACGGAGAGTACAACCTGAAACCTGGCAAGGTGCAGGGCCTCAGACCGGTAACTGTTTTATGTGACGTCTATTCATAAACACATTTCTGTGTGGATTTTTACTGAAATGTATATTGATTAACGATTTTTTTGAAAATTGTAAATGTGCAGTTTTCAAGGACACTCAAGCTTTGGAAGTCATCAAACTTTGGCGGTCATTTTCTCGTTAATTTTACCTCTGACCCCCACCACCTTCAGTCACAAAATTTATATCTCGACTTCTGTTCAAGATACATGGGTATTTTTTATCACCAAAAGCAATACAAAAACCCCCCAAGTTTTAAGATTATACCAGATTTATTCCAAGTTTTACCCCTTTTTGCTTATCATATTGCACTTTTAAAATAAAATTAGTCTTGATACAAGAGGAAATAGACGCTTTGACTTGTACATTTTTCCAGTCCCATCGCAGGTTTTTCTAGAGGAACAATACAGTTGAGGCACTACAGCCAACAGAGAAGTTTTTCAAATTGTTTAGGGAAACTGTGCTTTAGCATCAAACTGATGATAGTTCCTCAGAAGTTTTGAGCTATAAAATTGAGTTCTATTTTGGTGATACACAATATTAATAGTAATAAAAATAATGATAATGATGATGATGATGTTGATGATGATGATGATGATGATGATGAGGATGAAGATGATAATCTTAATCATAATGATATTTTTTTAAAACAACAGTACTAATAATAGTAATAATAATTTAAAAAAAACAACTAAAAAAACAACAAAATAATAAAATTTATAACAATAATAATAGTAATAATAATAAGAAGAAGAATGAACAGACTGAGGATAATGTTTATATCCCCATCTCCCATGTGCACACAGCGTTAGGGGCTTGTAATAAACAGCATTTACATAGCACATATCCCGCTGAGCAGCATGCTCTATGCTCTTTACAAATCTATATTGTTACTGCAGCAGACCCTAGAGGGGGCTCTCGTGGCCTAGAGGTTAAGATGTTGGCCTCTCATTCAAAGGTCCTGGGTTCGAATCCGGGTAGCGACCAAAAAATTTTCTTCTCTAAAATTGTCTCCTTTCACCTCCTTTCCTGTTCTCTAGCAATGTTCTGTTGTCTGCTTTCATTTCCACTTTCTGCCCCCACCCCCTCAACTCCTTTGCCCCCTCCTCTGGGCTCCTGACTCTATCTGCAGCCTTTTTACTGTTACTCCTTGGCTCCTCCTTACTGCTGTCTTTCTGCCACACCCCTGATCTTCTGGTAGGAAAGATCTACACCTAGCCTTCTCGGACAAGGGCGGAAAATCTCGGAGGGCCCGTGTGCAAGTTGCACACGTTAAAGATCCCTTGGTGGTTTAAAATCGATAAGAGTAGGCTCCGGCGGCCACCCGGGCAAAATTCAAAATTTCCTACCAACTGAAAATATTAGGTGTGTCCCGTGCGCTCATATGACCTTATGCAGTTGCGAGTGCCGTAAAACACTTTATAAAAACAAAAAAAGACCCTAGACTCAGTTACATTCTCGCTTCCTGGGAAGCATACAGTGCAGGCAGCCAATTAAGCTCTCAAACGCTAACAAACTGACTAAAGATCTTTCTCTGTTTAATAGCCGGGTCAACACTTCTATATGGCTGTGAATGCTGGACAATCACTAAAAACAGTGAAAATAAAATAAAAGCCACAGAAATGTGGTTTCTTAGGAGACTGCTAAGAGTATCGTGGAAGGAAAAGAAATCAAATGAGGTAGTGCTTGATGAAGCCCACGTGGGACGCTCAATGTTAAGAACAATCAGGAAAGGACAAATGCAGTTTTTGGGACACCTGAATAGACATAAGGGTCTTGAACATCTAGCTCTCACTGGCAAAATTGAAGGCAAACAAATCAGGCGTAGGCCCAGAACAACATACTTAGGGTACCTAAACAAATGGGTAACAGGGAAAGATCAGAGAAACGTAGCTTTTTTGAGAGCATCCGAGCAAAGGAATGAATGGAGAACCATGATCGCCGATGCCTGTCGCAGATCTGACACTGGATGATAATGAGGATGACCCATTCCCACCTGGGTGAAGTGAGGAAAATTTGTGTAAAGTGCCTTTTCCAAGGGCAGAACGTTGGGCCCCTGATGAGATTCGAATCTCTGACCTATTGATTGAGAGTCTGAGAGCCTAACCACTAGGCCAATGACACCATACATGACATTGTTTGACAACATAATTTACATTGTTGATGACATAATTTACATTGTTGATGACATAATTTACATTGTTGATGACATAATTTACATTGTTGATGACATAATTTACATTGTTGATGACATAATTTACATTGTTGATGACATGAATTACTTTGTTGATTAGATACTTTACTATGTTAATTACTTACATAACATTTTTGACATATTAGATAGTTAATGACATACATTAGATTGTTAATATAACATACTTTAGATTGCTAATAACATAAATTACATTGTTGATAACATACTTTACATTGTTCATAACATATATGTGAGGCATCGTGGTGAAATCAGGTGCTCATCAGAATAATGAAATTGAAGGAACTGGCAAAATTTTGTGTTTTTTGTCTAACACGATTGTTGTCTAATTAAGAACGTATTTGTGGGTGGATTTTACGGAAACATGTTGATTAAAGGCACAAAATATGTACGTTTCCAGTTTCCGCTGACTATCAAGCTATGAAAATAACCCAACTTTGGAGGCCATTTTCTCACTAATTCTACCTTTGAAACCAAGGGACCCCACCTTCTGCTATCTCAAATATCTTGACTTCTATTTAAGATAGATGGGTATTGTTTTCACTGATAGCAAGACAACTTAATTAACAATCTTTAAGATGGTACCAATAACTCCACATGCCCAAAAATTGACAAGCGCCTGATTCTGCCGCGTAGTGACACATATGACATTGTTGATAGCATACATGATATGTAGACATTGTTGATAACATACATGACATGTTGACATTGTTGATAACGTACATGATATGTAGACATTGTTGATAACATACATGACATGTTGACATTGTTGATAACGTACATGGTATGTTGACATTGTTGATAACATATGTGGCATTTTTGTTTTGCTTTTACAGAGAAGAACAAAATCTCCGTCAAGAAAGAAAACGGTACCGAAGGAGGCATGGGCAAGCTCTTTGTACCAGGACCCATCGGCCACAGGGGCTTCTAACGAGGGTGAAGGTTTTATTTTTCATCTTTTAAAAAAATAAATAATTTAAGTATCTTTTATGAACCCCATCAACACAATTGAGATTGTTTTGGACATTTCTAACCTTACCTGTCCTGGCCAACCCGGGCTGGGAGGGATGATACAACATCATGGTTTTCCATTCATTCCTTTGCTCGGATGCTCTAAAAAAAGCTACGTTTCCCTGATCTTTCCCTGTTACCCATTTGTTCAGG